ATGCAGATGCCAGGTCAGAGAAGGCTGGGGGGAGCCCTGCGTGGGGAGAGTCCAGGACAGGACCCAGCGAGGGCGGAAGAGCAGGGGCTCTGGAATCTGATGCTTGAGTCTGGGGGCCGCTCCTCACTGCCTTAGCACCTCAGGTAAACTGCTTAAATTTACTGAGCCTCCGTTTCTGAAACTCTAAAAATGAGGCTAAAGTTAACACCTAGCTCTAGTTTCTCTATGAGTCTCTAATTAAGTAATGTATGCCACAGTGCTGTCGAATTCCTAGAGAGTTATATAATGTTGGCTGTTTTTATTATTACTATTAGAGTGCTAGAAGATGGAGTCGATATTTAATAGTCATAATTGTTACCATTCATAGGGCCCTTTATATGTGTGAGACACTCCACTAGCACTTTAATGCATTAGCTCGTTTGATCATTAGAAGGATGGTGTGAGAGAAGTGTCCTCACTCTACACAGGAAGACACTGAGGCTTGAAGAGCTTAGGAAACTGGCTCAAGATCACAGATTAGAAAGCAGTTAACCCGGGATCCAAACCCCAGGCTGGGTGACTCCGGGGCCTGTGCTGTTGATCACGGTGACCTTGCCCATAGCCCCGTGGCTGTGTGGCATCGGGGGAGCAGAGGAGGCGCGCGGGGTGGGGGTCGGGGGGCTGGCTGATTAGTGCAGCAGAGTGAAGGGGGTGGGGCTGCGGGCAGAGCTGGGGTTTGGCGTGGAGGTGGATGCATTGAATTTCTTTCTGAGGAGAGAATGGGGAACTCAGAGTGTGGAGACCTGGTTTTTGGTGGAGTGTTCAAAGGAAGAATGGCAGTAATAAATTATGTCTGATGCTTTCTGCTTTTGTAAAGCACCTTCTGCACGCGTGGTCACATCTAGTGCTCACCGTAACGCTGTGAGGAAGGTAGGGCAGATCTGGCCTCTCCAAATGTACGACCTGAAGTACGTGGCTCTGTCCACACCTCTTGGGACCGGAGGTGGTTAAGGTGGGGAGTAGAGGAAGAGTGGGGGGAGGGGGACCCTGGGTGAGGAGCAAAGGGTTAGTTAAGGACAGAAGCAGAGGCAGAAGCGGTCAGATGTGGGCCTGGGGGCAGGGAGGCGCAGTGCTGGCCAGCGGGGAGACAGCTGATAAAGGTCAGGGGCCTCGGAGGAGGGCTGCATCCTCATGTCCCTGAGCTGGGCTCGGGGTGCAGGGTCCTGTCCTGCTGGTATAAGCGGGTTCTGAAGCAACAGTGTGTGCCCCCATGTCCTGGCCTCCACCCAGCTTTCCTGGCATGGGCGGTGCCGAGGCGGGAAGCAGAATTTCCATTCTGTACCCAAGCCTGGCCTCTGGAGGGGAAGCTGGCGATCCAATCATAATCCTCAAGTGTCCTGTCCACTACTGCTGTCCCCCTGCCCCTCCCCCACTTTCTCTTTTCTCAGCGTCTGTTTGGCTATTTTCCCTCCCTTCTCAGTCCTCTGTGGTTCTGTCTTTCATCTCCTCCTTCCATCTGGTCCCACGGTCTCTCCCACCTCTCAGAGTCTCAATCTCCCCTGCTCTTCATCTCTTTGGGGTCTCCCTGCCTTTTCCACCCCAAACTCTCCCTGGGCTCCTCTCAGGAGAGATCAGAGTAGCAGATGACTGAGGTGGGTCTGGGAGGGGAGAAAGAAAGTCCAGCCTCTCTGGCCCTTGCTAACCACTACTTTCCTCCCCAGGGACCTTGGCCAAGAGCATTGGGACCTTCTCAGACCCCTGCAAGGACCACACGAGTATCACCTCCCCCAGTGACCCCTGTCTCCTGGGGAAGGGGGGCTCCAGCAGCTTCAGTAGCCAAAGTGGCTCCAGCAGTTCCAGCAGTTTCCTTTCGAGTTCCAGTGGCTCCCGTGGCGGCTCCAATGGCTCCAGTGGTAGCTCCAGCGGATCCATTGCTACCCAGGGTCGTTCTTCAGGATTTTCGTTATTTAAGCCAGGAACGGGGTATTCCCAGATAAGCTACTCCTCTGGACCTAGCTCTAGTCTACAAGGTGCATCTAGTTCCTCCCAGTCAGGAAGCCTCAGCTCCCAGTCTGGAGGAGGCTCAAGCTCTTCTGTTTCCCAAACCTCCTCGATGTCAAGCAGAAGTAGCCAGAAGGTCAACGCCAAGCTGAGCCCCTGTAGTTCCAACATCCCCGACTCTCCCTGCAGTGGGGGACCCATCGTCTCACACTCTGGCTCCTACATCTCCAGCTCCCATTCTGTGTCTGGGGGTAAAATGCCTGTAGTGGTGGTGGTGGAGCAGCACAGCTCTGGTGGCCCCAGAGTGGGTCAAAACGTCCCCTGTAGCAATGGTGGCCTTCCAGGCAAGCCCTGCCCCCCCATCACCTCTGTAGACAAATATGGCAGCTATGAGGTGGTGGGTGGCTCCTCTGACAGTTATCTGGTCCCAGGCATGACCTACATTGGGGGCAAAATCTACCCGGTGGGCCACTTCATCAAAGAGCACCCCATCAAAGGCTCTCCAGGGGTTCCTTCCTTTGCAGCCGGGGCCTCCATCTCTGAGGGCAAATACTTCTCCAGCAACCCCATCATCCCCAGCCACAGCTCTTCTAGTTCCAACATCTACCAGTCAGGAGCTTCCTCGGCCATTGTGTTCCAGCCGGTGGGCTCTGGTGGGGTCCTGCCCTATGGCGTTGGCTCCAAGGGCTCTAAGGAGCCCTGCTCCCTCTCCAGCTCTGGAGTCCACAGCAGTTCTAGCCATTCCAGCAGTTCTGGTTCATCTTTCCAGCCCTGTGGTGGTGTTTCCCAGAGGCCCAGCTCCTCACCAGGCACTGGCTCCTTCAGTGGCAGCTCTAGCTCCCAGTCCCATGGCAAAATCATCCTTCAACCCTGTGGCAGCAAGTCCAGCTCTTCTGGTCACTCTTGCATTTCTGTCTCCTCCTCAACATTGAGTAGGGGTCCAGCTGGCTCTTCCCAACATGACCCCTCAGCTGGTGCCAAGCCCTGTGGCTTTGGCAGCTCTGGAACGATCCCCTGCCACTCCATCCAGGACATCCTAACCCAAGTGAAGCCCCTGGGGCCCCAGCTAGTTGACCCTGAAGTTTTCCTACCCCAGGGAGAGTTACCTAACAGTCCATAAAGCAGATTTTGCCTACACACATGCGCAGGCGCGCACACACACACACACACACACACACACACACACACACACACACACACACACACACACACACACACACACACACACACACACACACACACACACACACACACACACCATCTCCCAGGTGGGAGAAGTCCAGGGGCCCAGCCATGGGGTAGCTCAGTTTTCTTCCACCCTCTCCCAAGAGAGCTGCTCTACCTCCTCCATCGTCCCAATGTGGCAGACTCTCCCTTATCAGCTCTTCTTTCTTTACCTCCCCAAACTGTAGGCTCCAAATCCCTTTCCTCATTCTCTCCTGCTGTTTAGATTCCCATTGTACTGCAGTTCCCTCCCTGCCAGATACCCTCCCCCTAGCATTTCCTCTGCCATTTCTTTGAGACAGTATAGTCCATTGGCTAACCCTACTCATTCAGATTCTTGACTGGGAACCCCCTGAAATGTTCTACAGTAACTCTGATGCCTGGACAAGCCATCCCCTCCCCACCTCCTGCCCCCCCTTTGCCAAATAAAGCATAATCCAAACAGTTATTTGAAAACAGTGACCATTTTTCACTGATCTCATTTCACCATCTGGTCAACCATCATGATATCCTGTTGGGTTCTCACACTCCCAGTTCCACTCCCATGCTCCATTATAGAGCTCAGCACACCCTTTTTGAGTTCCCAACATTCCTCTTTGTCTCTCAAGGTCTCCATCTCAGTCCCCCTTCCTGGCTGCTACTTCCCTCAATGTTCAGAGGCTTCCCCGTGTGTAGGAGATACCAGGGTATCTGCAGAGACTGGAGCAGGCTCCCTGCCCTCTCTGGGTCCTGGACAGATGTCTCAATAAACTGTGTGAACTGGATTAGATTTTTTGCCTTCTTGGAGCCCTGGGTCTCCTCTTGGGACTTGAGTGATGCTCTCCTATGCCTCTAAAGGTCCTGTGTCCCCCACTTTCATTCATAAATTGGTCTGGTATTTCTTACATCTTACAGCTCCTCCCACAAAGGAGGAAAATCATAAATATTTGTTGAACTGAAAGCAGGGGTTAGTTGGTCTCCCAGATCCTTCCTCTCACATCTCTTCTCTCTCGTTGCCCCAGGAAATCCATTCTTGTTCCACTGCCCATTCACTCTGCAGTCCTCTCCTTACATAGAGCCCTAATGATTTCTTCCCCTTCCGCACCTGGCTCCTTCTCCTTATCCATTAGTTGGCCTCGCCTTCAAGATGCCATCCTCTCTGGAAGTCCCAAGCGTCGATTTCCTGGGTTTCTGGGACACCAGGAGCCTTGGGAAGGCTGGAACACAGCAGCCCGGACCAGATTCCTGGGGACTGAGTAGGAGCTAAGGGGGGCGTGGTTCTGGGAGCTGCAGGTGGAGGAGGTGAAAGACAGAGAGGACAGGGCCATGATGGATGTGCAGCCGAGCACGGTGACTCACTGGCCTACATCGAAATGCCCCAGCCTGTGGCAGAACAGTGTCCTCCCCAGCAGTGCCCTCTCCACCTTCAAACTCCTGCTGCCTCTGCTGTGGTTCTAGAGTGAGAGCTGGGAGAGGTGAGAGGGCCGAACACTACAGTGGGGAAGGGGAGGTGGCCTCTATGGGAAAAGACTGAGAAAGTGGACAGGGTGCCGAGGGCCACACGACTATGTTCTGGAGACAGCAGGGAAGACACTGAGGCCAAGGAAGCTCTCATGCCCCAAGGAGGGGAGGGTGGGCTGTGCTCACCCTTACAGGAAGAGCCTCTCCCCAAAGCACAGGCCACCTCTCAGAGCCTCTGCTTGGCTGCAAAGGAATTCACCCCTACCTTAGGATCTAGCTCATTCCCTCCTATTGGGATGATGTCAGCTGACCCCAAATGTAGGACTCTTGTTGAATTCTCGAATCAGCAGAAATATGTTATGTTGATCAGAAATGACCTGGGACAGCTGAGCCAACCTGCAGGGTTGACTGAAGACAGAGGAGGGCTCCAGAACAGTCCTGTTTCTGTCATCACTGTGGGGTCACCCTTGGTTACCATGTGCCCCCTGGACTGCAGCCAATGACAGGAATCAAGGCCCTCAGAGGCTCTGTGGACCGCAATTGTGGGAGGGACGCAGCCTCTGACACAAGTATTCCTCTAGTTTCTGGTGTGATCCAGGTCAAAATGTTTTGCAAAGCTGTTGGATGTCACCCCAAAAGGCTGCTGCCCTGTACGCACTGGTGAGATCTGCGCTCTTTTTAAAACATTTTTATTGGAGTATATGTTGTCCACTGGCCAGATCTGGAGAGGAGCTATCTACCCTCCCAGTAGCCAGCTAGCAGGGGCTGGGGATGAGGATGGAATGGTAAAATCTAACAGCTAATATTTAAACTTCATGCAACAAGAGAAGCCTAGTCTGGGTGCGTCTTGGAAGCAATAGAGAAACAAAGGCATTTAAACACTTTTTATAGGAAAAATTCAAACATATTTAAGAGTAGACAAAATACTTAATGAATCCCTATGCTCTCATCATTCAGCCTTAACAATGATCAATTGATGGCTGTTTGACAACAGCACATCAATGCTCTTCTACTTAGTTGGAAACATCTGCTCTCTCTCTCTCTCTCTCTCTGTATCTCTTGTATATTCTGTGGACACATTTGACCATCTAAGGTAGGCAGACTTGCGCCCTCCCCATGACCAGAGATGTCCACGTCCTGATGCCTGGAAACTGAATATGTGAGGCTACATAGCAAAGGGAAACTGTTTGCAGATGGAATTACGGTTGTTAGTCAGATGACCTTAAAGTAGAAAGATTATCTGGGATTATTTGGGTGAGTCCGATGTAATCATAAGGGTCTTTAAATATGGGAGAGGGAAGAAGAGGAGGTCAGACTGATGCCATGTGAGAAGATCCTGCTGTTTCTGGCTTTGAACATGGAGGAAGGGGACCATAAGCCAAGGAAATCAGGTGGCCTCTAGAAGCTGGAAGATGCAGGGAAATGGATTCTTCCCTAGGGCCTCCAGAAAGGCTCTACCAACACGTCAGTTTTAACTCAGTGAGACCCATGTCAGACTTCTGCTCTTCAAAACTGTAAGATAGTAAATTTGTGTTGTTGTAAGCCATTAAGTTTGTGGTTACTTGTTATAGCAGCCATAGGAAACCAGTACACCATCATCTCTTAAGGATGGGAACCAGGTCTATTTCCCTAGACACAGTGTCTCATCTAGGAGCAGCCCCTCAGAAGGGGGCCACTTCTGCACCCCAGAACCTCCTGCAGGTTGAGGTCAAGACGATGTAGCTATGGGGATGCATGAGAAAGGGGTGCTGGAAGAGAATGATCTGGATCCCAAAGAGAAACAGAATCAGGTGTTTCTATTGTTGAGATGTCAGTGAAGAGATTGAGACCCCAAGGGTGAAGGTCCTCATGTGCCTGGTGTCAGCAGCCAGGAAGGGTAGGGCTGGCAACCAGTGATGAGCTGTGAGCCAGGACACCTGGGTTAGGAAGGGGTGGGGAGCTTGAGGAAAGGAGCAGGGTGGGAGCACCCAGCTTCCCTGGATCATTCAAGTGGCATCTGTTGCCACAGAAATAATTAGGAATGAGGGTGGAACTTAGAGGTATGTTGTTTCCACAACCACTGGCTCAGCCTGTTTCTGATGTCCCCCACCCACTAACAGGATAAAGGGCTGGCTGTCTTGAGGCTGAGGGAGTTTCAGAGCAAGATGCAGGGCCATGTTGCAGGGAGCCGGGCTCCTTTGGGCCTGCTCCTGGTCTGTCTTCATCTCCCAGGTATGGAGGCTGTGCCAACCTTTGGGCAGGAGTGGACTGGTGGTCCTCGGGGAACTGGGACTGAGGGAAGAGGTAAAGGTGGGAGTGTGTACAGTTGGGTCCCTGAGGGAGGAAAGAGTTGGCACAGGCAAAGTGGAGGGACTTGAAGCAAAGGGAATCAGGGAGTCAGGGAAGGGAGGGCACTGAGACTAAATATCTGGTCCACTGGCTGCCTCCTCTTCCCCTTCCCTCAGGCCTCTTTGCCCGGAGCATCGGTGTAGTGGAGGAGAAATTTCCCCGAGACTTGGGGATCAACCTGCCTCTGCTTGGACAACCTTCCTTGACCAGCCCCTCCAACTTGGAACATCCTCAGCCCAAACCAGACGCTGGGCCTAATGATTCAGCAAGGGCTCCTCTGAAGCCCAATCCTCCTCCATCACATGGCTCTCAACCTGCAGGAGGTGCTGGGGTACAGATGTGGCCCCCATCTGGGGAGCTGCCCTCCATGGATTCCTGGTCCTCGGAGGACCCTTGGCTGATGATGCCTGCTGTGGTCGAGGACCATGTGGGAGAAGAGCTGCCTGAAGAACCGTCCTACTTTTCTAGTGCGGCTGCCCTCCCTCCGGGCAGTGGGCCTTTGCCTGCAGAGCCCTCTGCACACCCCGCGGACCCCTCACCCGAGGCTTCACTCCTCCAGCAGGACTCTGAGTCTAGATGGCAACTCCGCTCTAATGTGCCGGGCGCCCAGAGAAAAATCCTTGCCCGACCCGGTCCCTGGTCTCCCCTCAATGGGATTCGATGGCCACTTCGGCCTGGTTACCCCTGGGGGGCCCTGAATCCCAGTGTACCTTGGGGAGGTGGAGGTCCTGGCACTCCATGGGGACCAAGGCCCTTGACGTACCCTGTGGGAATCTGGGGTAACAGTAATCAATACCCAAGAACTACCTGGGGGTATCCCGATATCAGATGGAGGATTATTAATTGGTATCCAGGTACTAGCTGGAAGAATATTCATCAACACCCAGGCATTAATCAATTTCCTGCCAGAGTTCTCCGTGCTTCTGGCTCTTATTAGAGCATCCCAGCCGGCTTTCCCAATCCTCAAAACCCTGGGTCATAATGGAGTTAGGAGAATGACAGAGGGGGGGCAGCCCTAAGTTAGAAGTCAGAGAGGGGAGTCCTGATCCCTTCCCTTGCAGTGTGAGCTAAATCAAGATCCTATCAGCTGTTTTCTAGCGTCCTCTCCACTTTCACTGCCTCCCTGCTCCCCATATGCTGATCTCCAATAAAACACAGCACTTACTGAATCCGCTTCTTCTCAGTGTCTTTGTTTCTGCGTGCAAACTGGAGTTTTGTCCATCCCCATTTTCTAGTCATCCTCATGTCCCTCTAGGGTCCTCCTGACACTCTCTTGCTATCCCCATCCTTTGCAAAAGATCAAAGCCCAGGTGTTTGAGGGTGGGGCCTCATGGTCTCATCTGGGCCAAGTGGGAGAGCTGGTTCTAGAATTGTCCTGGAATCTGAAAAGGGGAGGAGGGGCAGCAGGACTAACTGAGGTGGCACCTGTGGCAGGAGGCAAGGGTGAGGTCCAGGAAGTTGGTACCAGGGCCAAGTGGGGAATGAATAGTCTTTGATTCAGAGACACGGAGGGTCAGAGAGAGTCATTTTTGTCTATGCTTACCTTTTCTTCCCAGAAAGTTACGGTTCTTGGAAGTGGAAGAGGCATTGATCTCCCTTACATGCATCGCTTGGTACACTGTGCCCCAGAGAACCACAGACTTTGGGCATTTGCTGAACAAATAGCAGACCTCAATAGAGGAAGAAAGGAAAGGGAGAAGGGATAGGAAGAGAGAAACTTGGAGCCAACAGTCCTGCCTATGGCTGCATTTGATGCTTTTATTCTCAAGTGATGACACAGTCTCTTCTTTTGGTCACACTACCCTCCCTTTGGTTTTCCCAGGAGCTCAGTATCCTTGTACAGGAGTTGGAGTGGGGTGAGGAAGGGTCATTCTAAGAAAGTGCAGAAGGAAGTTAACAGAAGCTGGTGGGGGTGATGGGGTTTCCAGGGGGCACAATTCTGGTGTCCACCCATGTCTTCCCATCAACAGTCACACCACCCTCTATCACCCCAACCTCCTCCCCCAATTCTTTCCCATCCTGGACTCTCACTTTCTCCCTGTCCTGGGGCAGGCGGTTCTGTTTTCAGCACCTGTCTCTTCCACAAGCCCAAGCTCATTCTCAGGCTTGGTCTCATTTCTGTCTGTCCCTCTTTCTGGCTGCCTCCCTCTCACTCCTATTTGCACTTTTAAATTCTGTGTCGGCACTCCCCTCCTCTGTTCCCCACAAGCGCCACGGGAAAGGGACTTTGCTTGTTCACTGTGGGACTCCCAGCACCACGGACAGCATCTGGACCAAGGTCAGCACTCAGCAAACACTGAGTCAACGCACTCGCACTCTCTCTCTGACTCCCCTGTTTTCTCTCTTCTTCCACTTTATTTCTGAGCCACAGGGCTGCACACAGACTCCCATCTGTACTGCTACCATGCCCTTCCCAGAGCCTCACTGACATCTCCCTAGAAACCCCACAAAACCCTTCCTAGCTTGGGAGTGCTCTGTACATTCCATTCTTTCACCTCCATTAACAACTGTGAGGAAGAGGTTGTAAGATAAAGAAACTGAAGCTCAGAGAGATTAAGCAATTTACACAAGGTGACATAGCTAACACATGACAGAGTCAGTGACTCAAACCAAATTTTTCTATCTGTCCAGGGAGTGTTCAAGTATATTATGCAATTAACAAAAACCCATCTAATTTTTGAGTACTTGCTATGTGCCAGACTCTGGACGAATTGCTTTCACAACACCCTTCCAGCTAATTGCCACAACAATCCCATTGTGTAGGTACTGCTGGGCCCATTATACAGGTGGAGATACTGAGGCCCAGAGAGGGAGGTGAGCCAAGGCTGACAGAGGTAACACTGAGCCGAGGGAGTGCAATTCATCCACTACTCGCTGCTGATGGATGGTCCCGGGTAGCCGTGGTCAGCTTTGTCGGACTGGTCTTTGCTTTAGGGTTAGTTGTTGCCATTAAAAAAAAAAAAGTGAGATTGGTCAGTAATCTGTGATATAATAAATGTCCTAAGGTCTGCAGTGGGAGCTGCTGCTCATATACAGATTTTTACATTTTTATTAGTGGTTAATTGGTGGAAGTAGGTGCTGGAGTAGCAGGAGTCATTTCTTGAAGGTTCTGCAGTAGAGAGAGCACTTTGCCGGAAGTTGGAAGACGAGGTTCCCCTTCCATGTGTCCACACAGCTCTCTCTGCTGTGACAATTTGGGCTGGTCATTTGCCTCTGCAGACCTTAGTTTTCTCATCTGTAAAATGGGATGAAAGCAGATGTGCAGTCTACCTCGCAGGATTGTCATGAAACTTAATTAAGATAATGATAGGACTTCCCTGGTGTTGCAGTGGTTAAGACTCTGCGATCCCAATGCAGGGGGCCCAGGTTCGTTCCCTGGTCAGGAAACTAGATCCCACATGCATGCCACAACTAAGACCCGGCCACAACCAAATAAAAAAAAAAAAAGATAATAAATAAATAAATATTTTTAAAAAGATAATGATAAAGTGCATTAGAGACTGAAAAATGGAGCAGGTGTAAGGGCCTGATTATAATGCAAAATGTTGTCTCAGTGAGGCAGTCCTGGTGGCATCACAGAGAAGGAGAGTTCTTAGCCCACAGTGGGCTGGTCGGTGAAGTGGCCGTAGTTGACTTCACGGTTGACTGTTGAGTGTGGTGTGATGCTTCCCCCTGGGAATTACACTCAAGAGAATTATTCCAAGATCAAGAAGGGAGAGTCGGCTCCTCCTTGAACTATTTCATTCCTCAAACAAACTTGTGTTCTCTCAGACGTTTTTCACTTACACACACACTCTCGGGTGATTGTAATAATGGTGTCCTTTATCACATATTTACCATGAACAAAATGTGTTACAGGGTTATCTCAACTCTCACAACAATTCTAGGATGTGGATGTACTTACTCTGATTATTTCTATTTTACAGGTGAAGAGACTGAGGCTCAGCAAGGTTAGGTAACTTGCTGAAGGTCACACAGCCACTAAGAGGTGGAGCTTGGGTATGGTACCATTTGGAAACCACAAGCAAAGTTGGGCAAACTGCACAGAGCAGGTGAAAGCAAGATTCTCCAGCCCCTACAGTTTAATCACCACCTGGAGTCCTTCCTCCGACACGTTCATTTTCAGCCATTTTCATGTCATCTGAAGACCAGCAGGCAGAGTGTGGTTTTGTCTCTCCAGACAAAATGCCTGCCTCTTGTGTTCCTCTCATTCCACTGGAAGGATGTCCCCTATTGCCTTTTTATACCTCTTTCTTTCTTTCTCTTCTTTTCTTTTTTTCTTTTTTTTCACTGTTTGGCAGCTTGCGGGATCTTAGTTCCTCAACCAGGGATAGAACCTGAGCCTTCAGCAATGAAAGCGTCGAGTCCTAACCACAGGACCACCAGGGGACTCCCTCTACCTCTTTCTAGGTCTGCTTTCTCCCTTTGCTGTCAGGAAACTGGTAAACACATCAGGAAGACACTTTATGAGCCCAGATTGTCACACATGAGAGTGAGCACACCAGCCCTCGGGAAGATCAGTCACATGCCAGGGTTTCTAGTTCTGTCCACTCACAGAATATCCTGGTCAAGGAGGCCTGTACAGTCCAGTGGAGGGATAGCGGGAGGAGAATAGGTGTTTCAGGTCTTAGAGGCATGGTCGTGGCCAGGGTAGGAAGGACCATTTTCACATTCTCAGTAGCAATGACTGTTCGGGGTTGTTATTGTCCCCACAGAGATCAGTGGGGTGGATATGGCTTATCCTGAGGTGGTAGTAAAGTTGGTGCTATACCTGCTATTTGGTTTAAAGCAGTGGGCTAGGGGCTTCCCTGGTGGCGCAGTGCTTGAGAATCCGCCTGCCAATGCAGGGGACATGGGTTCGATCCCAGGTCCGGGAAGATCCCACATGTCGTGGAGCAACTAAGCTCGTGCACCACAACAACTGAGCCTGCGCTCTAGAGCCTGTGAGCCACAACTGCTGAGCCCGTACACCACAACTACTGAAGCTCGCGCGCCTAGAGCCCATGCTCCTCAACAAGAGAAGCCACCGCAATGAGAAGCCCGCCCACCGCAAAGAAGAGTAGCACCCGCTCACCGCAACTAGAGAAAGCCCACGTGCAGGAAGGAAGACCCAACGCAGCCAAAAAGAAATAAATTTATAAAATAAATAAATAAAGCAGTGGGCTAGGTTGATGTGAAATAATTTCTGGTCTAATAGGGTCTCCAATCAGGCAAGCCCCACTGTGGAAAGGTGGTAGAAACAAATTGTGAACTAGTTTTGAGACCATTTAGTCTTTCTTGGCCTCAGGAAGGCAGTTATGACTGATTGAGCGGAAGCCGTATTCTTTAGCATCTTTCTTACTGTTGCTCTGTCTCCTCTCTATGTACCTTTTTTCCATGCTTAACTGTTCCCTGGCTACCCAGGACAATCCATCAGGATTCCCCTCTGGCTGGTCTGACCACACATCCCATGCACTGGACTTTCCCCCTTGCCTCACCCCCATCAAAACCCACCTCTCCTGTACCCCATTGCTTTGGGGCTCTCTGTTCACTGTGACATTGTAAGATGCTGAATTCAGAAGAACTAACTCTGTTAGTGATGAACAGGGGTGAAGATGATGAGCCTAGAAAGATAAAACCAATCTACTATGTTAGTGGACCCTTAATTATCTGACCCCAGCCTCCCCTCCTGGAACATATCACCATTGTCTAAAGGACTTTAAGGCATTTCTGTGTAATATAAAGTTTATTACCCTTATGAGTTTGTTAAACAATTAACATTGAAGCACTAAACAACCTTCCTCTGCATACTACTTACATAACTACTACCTCAAAACTTACAGATTTAATAAACCAAATTTTATTCAAACATTGATATTGTTTCACACTTAAACCAATTTAAGCATTTAATTCAGATCTCAAGTCTGATGTGCAAGATTCTCTTAAATGTCTTAAACCCCCTAAGCAGCAAACAAACACAAAAGTTATTATAACATTTACAAA